AAGAAGGAGCAGGGGAGGCAGAAGAAACAGGTTTAGGATGGGCTGGTTTGGGTAATTTCAGCAGATGCTGTGACATCAGAGCTATCCCTAGTTGTCTGGTACCTGGCCCTGAAATGATTAAGGCAAGGGGATAGTGTGACCCTGATTGTGAGAGCAGACAGGGCAATGGTTGGAGGGGGGAGCGGGGATGACACTCTGATTGGGTGAGTTTGCATTTGAAAGGTGGGTTCTAGTGTAAGTTGTTCATCATCTCTAGGAATTGTCTAACCCTGGGAGGGGTGGCCTTCTGGGGTCAGCAGAGTCCCAGAGGTCATCACCTCAGAGAGCAGGAAATAAAAATGCATGGTTCATACACTTTCCTGTTCTCTGTTTTCAAGACCCAGTTCAAGCCTCAAGCTTTCCCAGATACCCCATTCCATTGGGAATCACTCCCTTCCCTGAAGTCTTAGAAGACTTTATGTCTCTGCTGTTCATTGATGATTGATTTTGCTATTGATTATCGGGGGAGAGTGTGCTGTGTCTCTGCATTGTACACCTAAGCTCCTCGGAGGTGTCTTTTCTTATCTACGTCCTCTGCGGCACCTGGCACAGAATCTGGAACCTAATAAACACTCCTTAAATGTTTGTGAGCTCATAGGGCAAGCACGTCAAACTCAAAGGTTAACACGGGCCAAAGAAACGAGGCATGTGGCCCGCGGGCTGCGAGTTTGACATGCTTGTCATCGGGTCTCAGTTGCCTTCAGCTCAAAGTGGCATGTCTTAGGGAGACTTTTTTTTCAAACCCCTCCAGTTTCTTCCTCTATTACCTAGGGCTTGATCTTTCTAATATTCAGAATGTTTACAACTCTGAGCAAACTTTTATGAAATTCTCCGACAAGGAGCATTCAGGCAGCTCCAGCTGTGAATGCAGCTCAGAAGGGATCCTTTCTAATGTCAGCTGGAAAGGAGAAATTGAGTAAGTATCGATGCCCTGACTCTAGTGTTTCCTCCATTTACTCCCTGGAAGAGGGGAGGAGATGACATACAGCATTGGGTTCATGGAGCCGCCCGGAGGCAGATGAGGCACGCCTGTCTCATGTGTTATTTACTAATGGACAAACCATCTGCGTTATGTCCACCTTCACTGGTGGGTCCAGCCCAGGCTGTCAGGAAGGGAAGTAGCCGGGAATGGAGGAGACACAGTGGATCCTCCAGGTATTGAGGACAGGACACAGCAATGCTGCTGGCCACCTCGGGCTCCTCCTCCATTAGAACGGGAGCAGCGAGGGAGAACGAATGGACTGGAGTGTGAAATGATAGAGCGATTTGGCTCTGTTCCTGGGGCAGAGCTGATGGACAAAAATAGACCACATCTTGGGAAGCCTGGCATGAAATTAAATTCCAGGGCTGTAGCGATAGCCTTGCCAGTGGGCCACCTGCCAATATCCAGAAATGCCCTTGTCATGCCAAGTGGAGGTGGTGGTGGCGTGGAAGAGAGAGCTTCTGTGGAGGGTACCCTGACATTGCAGGGGCTGCCCCATCTGTCTTCAGTCCCTTGTTATTCAAAATATAGCTGATAGGCCTGCAGTATCGGACTCATGTGGGAGCTTGCTAAGAAATGCTGAATCTAATGCAAGGGCCAGGGGGAGGGGTCGGTCAAGGAGGCACCCCGAAACTCGGTCATCAAGATAAATAATACTTTTAAAAATCAAAATTCATACCAAAAAAAAAAAACTATGATGAACAAAATAGCATAATTTTACAGGAAAACAGGGTCTGACTCTGCACTTAAAAGATTCGGCCTCTGTACCTCTCCTAACTTGGCCCAGATCTTAGGCCCCACCCACACGGTTAGAGTCAACATTGTCATAAGATCCCAGAAAATGTACACATGCTCACTGAAGTTTGAGAGGCACTGCTTTGGACAACACCTCTCAAGCCACAACAACTCAAAATCTTGGAGTCCAGACAGCAGCAAAAATGGAAAGGGATAATCAGAGAAAAAGTTCCAGAAGCATCCATGCCCACCAGTTTGCTGGCCATGTGCCTGGACTTGTACACTGCCACATTAGAACTGTAGTGTGTCATGGTTTCCTATAAACTTTAAAACCTGTTTTACTTTAAAATCATCATAGATCCATAGGAAGTTGCAAAGAGGGTATAGAAAGAAACCATGTGCCCTCATCCACCTTGTAGCCACACCCATCTCTCTTCTCTGCCCCCACGCCCATCCCTAGCTCTTGGCAGCCACTAATCTGTATAATTGAATGTCTTATAAACGGAGTCATACATACGCAACCTTTTGAGATTGGCTGTTTTTTACTCAACTTAAAGAACTGGAGATTCATCCCAATCATTGCACATATCATTACTTCCTTCACTGAATTGTTTTTGCACCGTTGTCAAAATTCAGTTGGTCATATTGGTGTGGAGTTATTTCTAGACTATTGTATTTCATTAATCTATGTGTCTATCTCTCTGATAATTCCTGAGAGTCTTGATTACTATCCTATATAATAAGAGAAGAATATGCTAATTATACATTATGCTATGAGGTGGAACGACCAACCGCGTAACGTAAAGACCAGATCACGGATCTGCAGGAGGGCGGGGCAGCGAACTACAAGCCAGCAGTGGAGAGCTACAGGAGGGCGGCAACGAGCTACTGGTGCACAGATTTGTGCACAGGGCTACGAGTAGGTTTATAATAAGCTTTAAAATTTGGATAGATTTTCTCACTTTCTTCTTTCCCCACCCCCCAAAAAAAGATTTTAACTACTTTAGTTCCTTTACCTTTCCATATAAATTTTAAAATTATTTTACACCCAAAAGTCTTTCTGACATTTAGCTAGGAAATGCATTAAATTTATATGCCCATTTGGGGAGAATTACTGTCTTTACAATGTTGAGTCTTCTAACCCATAAAGCACAATAATCTCTACATTTATTTAGATCTTTGATTTCTGTCACCAGCATTCTGCAATTTTTAATATACAAGTTTTGCAATTATTCTTCTTAAATTGATCTTGTATCTTATGAACTTACTGAACTCATTTATTAGCTCTAGGAGTCTCCTTGTAGATTTCTTGGGACTTATAAGTAAATTTTCATGCCATTTGCAAATACACTTTTTCTTTTCCTTTTAGTTCTCTATTTTTTTTTAAAAAAATTTCCTTTTCTTGCTTTCTTGAGCTGACTAGAACTTCAGGTGCTGTATTGAATAGCTATGATGAGAGCAGACATGCCTGCCTAGATCCTGGTCTTAGGAAGAAAGCATTGTGTCTTTCTCTTTAAAGTATGATGCTTGCTGTGGGTTTTTATGGGTGTTTTTTGCCATGCTGAGGAAGGGTCCCTCTATCCCTACTTTTCTGAGTTGTTATTGAGGGAAAGGAAGACATTTCCTCTCTTCTTCCACGCTCAACAAGGATGGAAGTCCCTTTGTTTGGGACCTCAACCTATGTGTCTCTTCATCTGGCTGTTGATTCTTACACTTAGAACCCTTTGTAATAAGTTCATAATCTAGTGAATAAATGGGTTTCTCCAGTTCTGTGAACCTCTCAAGTGAGTTAGAGGAACCCAAGGAGTGGGTCTTCGGGACCATCGAACTCTACAGCATAAAGAGTAAACCTGTGGCCTAGAGATAATAATGTGTCAGAATGAACCATACAGGGTAACAAAGGGACCACGGTCATGCAAGGCAATACTAATAACATAGGGGAAATGGTGTGTGTGCCTGGAGTGGGGGAGCAGATAAGGTAAGGGGCCAAGTATATAGAACTCTTTAGGCTATTTGCTCACATATTTTATAAATCTAAAATTGTGCTAAAAATAAAGTCTATTTGTTATATTTAAAAATGCAACTCTGAGAGACTTGACGTTAAAAAAAAACGTGATGAGAATTTTTTTAAATGTTAAGAGAGCCAGCAGGGTTACCCTGGCACCTTGCTTTTATTTTTTATTTATTTTTTTAAATATATTTTATTGATTTTTTTATAGAGAGGAAGGGAGAGAGATAGAGAGCCAGATATGTCGATGAGAGAGAAACATCGACCAGCCGCCTCCTGCACACTCCCCACCGGGGATGTGCCCGCAGCCAGCGTACATGCCCTTGACTGGAATCGAACCCGGGACCTTTCAGTGCGCACAGACCGACGCTCTACCACTGAGCCAAACCGGTTTCGGCCTGGCACCTTGCTTTTAAACTACAGAACAAGGCTTGCTCCCCAGGCTCACTCACAGGATCCCTCACCTGGAAAACAAATCCAAGCCTCATTTCCTCGGCGGCACAAGACCAGGCCCCGTTAGCGTTGTAGAGTGAACCCCCTTAGAAATAAGAGGACCAGAATTTCCATCCCCTCCCTGGGTGTCTGGATTTTTCTCATGGAAAGGAAATCGGGTGTGGCTAGCCAATTTGAAAAAAGCAACATCACAAATTCCTTCCTAAGGAAAAAACAACAACAACCAACAACCCTTTTCTCTGGCTGAATGCTCCTCAACTCGCTGTGATGATGGGGTTCTGACCAGACTGTTAATCCCCCCTAATTATGCAGGAGGCTCTGTAAGTTTGTTTTTGGTGGGTTTTCTCTTCGGAGTGACTAGGTGAGGCGACCAGCTCACCTTTCCTCACATAAGAAGGCTGTGGCTGCTGCTTTTTAAAAAAATGACTCCTGCGCTTCAGAATTTCTGCACGTGATCCGAGGAGCACGGTTCAGTCTGTTGCTCCAGTGGCAGCTAGTTAGGAGCTTGTTTCAAATCCCCTAAACCACACCGGCTCATCGAGTGGCGGCCCTTTAAAACTGGACTAATCCCCTGGAGTTCGAAATCCTTTTGCCTCGAGGGCTGAGACCTGGCTCCCTAACCTTGAGAATCCTCAACCTGTGCTTTGAAAGTTGGCACTTTCCTATCTGAATAGCAGGAAAGATCGGAAATAAGCCTTCTCGAGCGGGACGTATTGATTTCAATGATCGCCGTTAATCCACCCCTTTCCTCTGTATAATGTGCGGCTTTCTTCTCTCAATTAGAAAGAGCCAGAGATTATCTGCACAAAACCGGGAGGTTTATCGTGATCGGCGGGATTGTCTCTCCGGTCCACGACTCCTACGGAAAACAGGTGCGCTCTGCCTTTGCCCCTCTCTCACCACTCCCCTGACCTGATGCCTACTCTGGTATCACTGCCATTTCTGCTGTGATTCCTGCCAAAGCAAAATGCCTGGTAGGAGGCATCCCACTTCCCATCTCTGGACCCGCCAGACCTCAGGGACCGGTGCTGGGCCGCAGCTGGTACAGCTGCCCATGACCAGGCAGCTGCTTGCAGTGCCAGGCTCAGTCCAAACTCATTAGAGGAGAAGCAGTCCCACCCGCGGACAGCCAGCTGTGACTTGGCATGGATGCCAAATCAGTGGCTGGTTATGGGCGAGGCAAGTCCTTCCTGGGATTTTAGGAGGAAAAAAAGACTTACACCTTTTATAATCTGATTTTACACATTCACTTTCCTGCCCTTCCATCCCTGCCACATGTCCCAGACGATCTAGGAGCCACTCCCCTGGCCCCCGTGCAACCTGGTGGGCCCCAGACGAGGTCCCCTGAGTGCAGACTGAGCCAGGAGACCAGGCAGCACCTGAGTCTCATCTCTGCGCTGGGCATATGGCTGCCCCGAGAGGTGGGGGCTCACCTATGGGCCCTGTTTGGGGTGGTCTCCTCCACCTGCTGTTCACTCTGCTTCTTTCCCTTCTGCCCCTCCATACCTGCCTGTGTCTGATGGACAAGTAAAGGGGGTACACCCCCATTCCCTGTCACCCCCCCAAAATGGCTGCACTTTTGGAATGGGCTGCCCCGATGGTGTCTCGGGAGGGTGGAGAGCAGACACAGGTCCCCATGACTGCTCTGTTGCTTCCCAGGGCCTTGTATCGAGCCGGCATCGTCTCATCATGTGTCAGCTGGCCGTCCAGAACTCCGACTGGATCAGGTAGGGCTGGGGTGCTGATACCGGAGGCGGGGGGCCCTGGGACTCACAGGGGTGGGTGGAGAAAGAGGATGGGTCTGGGCAGGGGTCTGGAGGCCAGGGGAGATAGTAACCCTGCTAAATACGAAATTCAGCTGGGGAATTGAACCGTGACCTCCTGGTTCATAACTTGATGCTCAGCCAATGAGCCAGGCCGGGCCAGCTGAAAAGATTTAAAGGTAAAATTGACTTTACTCAAAGATTCATGAATCAAGCAATATCCCATCTAGCAATAAAAAGGAGCTCCTAGGAGCTACACAACATGGGAGGCTTTTATAAGCAGAAGGGGAGAGAGAGAGGATTGTTTTAGGCTTAGGTAACCTACCTGAGGGCAGGAGGAGGCCATTGGGTGAAATACCTCTCTTGAGCTGACCAGAAAATTCTAGACTGACTGGTTAAGATAACAATCCGAGGAGAGGCTGAGATTGCTGTTAAGCTAGGTATGCCGTCCTGGTTTGGTGAGGTGAGCTTAGCACAAGTGACTCCATGTTGGGCCTGTTGTTTGTTTCATCACATCCCTGAGCCAGCCATAGAGCAATAGTTCTGTAGACCTTCAGGGGTGGTCCAACTGAGAACTTACACTTTTAACCATGTGTCTTTTAACCATGAAATCAAAGAGGGCGCTTCTAGTGTCTCATCTGCTCTGACACCTTTGGATCCAGGAATAATCTTGAAGCTTCCAAAAACATCAGTGGGTTTGGGGTGAGGCATGGCCAAGAAACCCAAAATGCTCCCCTACTTTTATCCCCACCCACTTCCCGGGTGAGCTGCCAGGCCTTGGCTATTTCCCTTTTCCCAACTGGGGTCTCTGGAGCCCCAGGTTGACGGTGGGACAGAGGCCGGGGGGTGAGCACTTGCTCCCTTTCCCTGGGATGTTCCACTAAGATGGCAGAGCCGTTATCCTCTGAGCCTGACGAGTAATTAAAGCAACCTTCTGCTAATTATGCTGATTGCACTCCCAACTTCCTACAGCTGTAATTTGCATGAGTGGCAAAAAATAAATAATGGCCCGCTATTTGCACTGTCATTCCCCCCATGGGAACGTCAGCAGCACCTGTCCTAGAGGTTCCCTGGAAAGGAGGAAGAGGAGGGAAGGCCGGCCTCAGGAGGAGGGGCGCAGAGCCTTCGTGGCGAAGATGGCTGGGCCAGAATGAGAGCCGTGAAGGGAGGCGACAGTGACGATGAAGTATCCGTCTTTGCCCAGCGTGCACAGTGACCTGTGTGAGGAGCACATGCTCTCGGTCCGGTGCCTTGTCTCAGATGAGGCCAGAGACGCCAAGGGGCCCAAGAGCGAACAGCACGCCTGAGGTCAAGTCAGGAATAGAAACACAGCCTCTTACCCTGTAACTCATCTCCTGCTGGGGGAAACGGGGTCCGGTGAGGGGAATACTGGGCAGCAGGCTGTTCTCCTCGGACGGGATTAGAAGATTCTAAACGTTTATCCCTCATTCATTCACTAAATGTTGGTTGACAACTCCGGACCCGCCTTGCTCCGGCCCTGGGGAAGTGAGAATTCTGAGCTGAGGCTCAGAGCTAGCTCTAGAGGTGGGGCTGGGGGCAGCAGGGTCCTGGACAGGGAGAGTCTGCTGAGCTAGATCCATCCAGTGTCTGTGCATCTCAGGGGAGGGCTGGGCAGGGATGGGGGAGGGGGCGGAGATAGGAGGACAGGCTGACTCTCTGAGTCTTTAGTTACGGAAACTGAGAAAATGTTAGATGTGTGTGCATGGCGGGAACTGGGCAGGGAATGCTCAACTGCTGAGAAACATCCCAATTTAGCACCGCATTGAGCGTGTCATTAAGGCCAAGTGATGCACCAGTTGGGCCTGGAGCCCTGCTCACTCTCATCCTGGTGTGCAGGAGGGCTTGGCCCGGCCAGTCTGACGGCCAGGCCCACCTCTGTGCCCACACGGCACCCCTCTGCGCAGGGAGGCAGACAGGGCAGACCCCCCAACTCAGCTAGCTACAGCCACCACAAGGTGAGGGCTTGGCTCTCTACCCTCTAAGGCCCCAGGAGAATTCCCATTGTCCAGGTCAGGGTACAAGCCAGACACTCGTCTAGGCACAATACATCCCACGCTCATCACGCCCTTCCCATCTCCCCACTAGAGGGTTACTGCCGCCAGTCCCAGTTTACAGAAAGTGAGCGCCCAGAGCGATCACATAGCCGCCCCAGGCCCTGCAGCGCCCAGTTCTGGGCCTGGGTTCCACCTGAGCAGACTAGTGTCAGCATCTCTGTGTGTCAGCCCACACGGCCTCCTTTTGCAGGGGGGAAACTGAGGCTCGGGAGGTGTTTCAAGCCCATGTATCTATCTGCTTTGAGTTCTTACTACACAGCATGACCAGGTCCACTCAGTGCCCTGAGCACTAGCCTTTGGAGGGAACCGATAAGAAAAGAGGGAGAGGCCAGACTCCAAAGGAAACACCCCTCCTTCCCCCCATTGCGCCAGGGTGGACCCGTGGGAGTGCTATCAGGACACCTGGCAGACGACCTGCAGCGTGCTGGAACACCATCGTGACCTCATGAAGGTGAGGGGGCCGTGCCGAGGGCTGGGGGGCCACAGAGCCAGGCTGGCTTTGGGAAGGGTGCCGCTGGCCTCCTGACCTAGTTTGGGCTCTGGTTTCCCACCAACCAGACCCGGGCAGCACATGGGAGGGCGAGCGGACGGTGGGTGAGGCCCCCAGAGCAGCCCCGGGGACTGCTGTGCCTGCCTGCTCCCCTTGCTGGATCTGACCTGGGGGCAAGTTCAAGGTGGGTGAAGACCACAGGCAGACGACTTCAGAAAGCGAGGCGAGGAGACAGGCAGAGAAAGGCAGGAGAAGGGAGGGCTTCTGGGAGGAGGGACCAGCAGCCAGGTGCTCCTGCCCCACCTGTTTGGGACCCAGTGGTCCCCTCCCTCCTGGGTCAGCTGTGATGAAAGCTGGGTATATGCTCTGTTTTCTGAAGCTCTAGAGCAGTGGTCAGCAAACTGTGGCTCACGAGCCACATGCGGCTCTTTGGCCCCTCGAGTGTGGCTCTTCCACAAAACTCCACGGCCTGGGCGAGTCTGTTTTGAAGAAGTGGCGTTAGAAGAAGTTTAAGTTTTAAAAATGTGGCTCCCCAAAGAAATTTCCATCTCTGTCCTGTTGATATTTGGCTCCGTGGACTCATGAGTTTGCCGACCACTGGTCTAGAGAGAAGCAGCGCAGGACAGCAGAGGACAATGCTGAATGCACACAGCGTGTCTGCTGGGCTCTGGAATGGGGCTTCACACTGGCCGCCTCTGCCCAGAACCCGCCCCACCCTCCCGCAACACCAACGCCTCCCGCTCTGCCTGGCACCGCTCGGCTTGGCTCTGCCCCTGGCATTTCGGGCCTGGAAAGGCGGCAGATGGTGATGGTGCCTGGTGTCCACATGACCTTTCCCAGGCTCACGCGGCCCTGGCGCAGGCATGACCTCATTTGAGCCCCACGAAGTGGGCAGCGAGGGCAGGAATGCATGTTGCCCAGAGGTTCCAGCGCGGGCTGCGTGTACCAGGTTCCTGCCCCGTGCCAGACACCCACAGACACCTGGCATACCCTCCCTCGGACACTCCCCGCACAACCTGGAAACGCTGCCTCTCTGTGCTCGGCCCCTGAGCTGAGGTCCAAGAGAAGCTAAGCCACTATCTGAGGTCACACAGACAGAACGGGGCAGAGCTCAACCTTGAACCTAGGTCTGGGCAACACCATGCCCCACTGGTCAGCACACGTGCGTTTGGAGACAATCAAAAACACTTTCCATCACTCACTCGGCGGCGGATGCCACAGACTCTGAACTTCTCTCTTCCCACAGCGGGTGACTGGCTGCATCCTCTCCAACGTCAACACCCCCTCCATGACGCCCGTGATTGGACAGCCCCAGAACGAGAACACCCAGCCGATTTACCAGAACAGCAACGTGCCGGCCAAGCCCACTGCAGGTAGGGGAGGCTGGCAGACAGTGGTCCTCACACGCCAGAATCACCGGGAGCGCTTGCTAAAAGATTGGTGCCGCCCAGGTTTGAATCAGTATGTCTGAGATGGGGAGAGTTTGCTTTTTTTTGGTGCTTTATGTTTTTTATTATTAGTTATTTACCACAAGTAAAGGTCAGGAATTGTAGAATTTGCATTTCTAACAAGGTGATGCTGGAGCTCTGGTCTCCATATCGACAACCCTTCACATAGAGGATCAGAGAGGAACGGTCAGGATTAGAGAGAGACAGAGAGACGCAGGGGCGAGGGTGTGCATTCTTCTACTGTATATAAATATAAATTATAAAAATATAAATATAAACTGCTCAACAGCAATGAAAGATACAAAAGGGAGCACTATCCTCTGCCTCTTCCAAGGCGGGTGCGGACTTTGCCCAAGTCAAACAGTGAGGAAGCAGCAGGACCAGGAGTCAAACCCAGGCCGTCTGCCTCCAGAATCCCACCCTCTTACCCGCCTCTTCAGTGGCAGGGAGATAGGGGGGCACCCCTACACCCACCCAACACCCAGCACCGTGTGCCCGCACCGAGGCTCAGTGCTTTATCCAGTCCTCAGCGAACGCAGCGATTCTGCGATAGAGACAGGACGTTCCCATTGACGGGAGATTCAGAGATGTGGTTTGCCTCAGAACACACAGCTGGAAAGCAGGAGAGCCAGAATTCACATTCAGGACTCTTTCATCCCAAGGTCTCTGCTCCTTCTAATATTTCCTTCCAGGCCAATTGCCAGAGGCAGATCCTGGTTTACTTTTCCCGCCTGGAGCGATTATGTCATTAGTCTGCTGTACATGGGAAAGAATTCCATAGTTCACACACCTGTGGGGGCTCAGAAACACAGCCTGGGTCAGAGCCCAGAGAGATGATTGAAAACCAGACACCTCTTGGCCTAAGGGCCGTCTGCATGGGAAGGAAGGACCAGCAGGAATTATTCCAAGTGAATCCTCTGCCCCAGGCCCAGGCTGCCTGGACCTGGATGTCAGTGTTCAGCGGTGGGTAAAAATACATGATATTAAAAAAATAATAATCAAACAGCCAACATGCCCTTTAAACACAGGGTGTAATCTACCCGATGTTACACAGACATAGCTGCATGATACATATTTGAAAAACGGAAGAAAAGAAATAATATACCAACCCATCAATGATGGTTACCACCATTAACATATTGGTATATTATTTATTTTCTTGTTCCTATATCTTCCTCTTCTCTATTTTCCAATTTTCCAACCATGTAATAAACATGACCAGAGAATAGACTCCAGTTCCGTGGCTCAAAATGCTTGGGCCTAGGACTGTGAATGAGAAGGAATCCTTGCTGTCATATTTCTGTTATTTCTCTCTACCCTCCTTCTGCCGCCCACTGCCCCGCCTCCCCTGCCCCGTCCAGTGTGCCCCATTGTTTATGGGGCCCAATGCCGGGCTCACTGAGTGCCCGTTGTGAGTGGCTCTCTCCCCGTCCCTGTGTGTCTTGCTCTCTCCCGCAGCCAAGATCTTGGGGAAGGTGGGGGAAAGCCTAAGCCGGATCTGCTGTGTCCGCCCGCCCGTGGAGCGCTTCACCTTTGTGGGTAAGGAGCACGGACCTTCTCTCCCAGTCCGGCCTCTTTTCTTGCCCTTCTTCCTCCCTTAATTCATTCATTTTCCTCCATCCCTCCCCCCTCCTGCCCTCACGCCATCCAGCACCTGCTATGGGATGACCATTCGCAGAGCAATGGTTTCCAGAAAACAGAGGTTACTGGTGGTGCTGGTGGAGCTGTTATGGGAGGCAGAGGGCATGACCCGCAGGGCCTGGGCTGCCTGGGAGACCCCCCACCCCTCAGGATGTGTCTAGATGCCTAGGAGTTTTCAGGGGGCCCAGCAGCCCCCCTCAGGTCCCTCCAGGTCAGGCCTGCCTGTCCCCCTGGCTGCCCATGAAGAACACACACACTTTCCCAGGTCCCTCTGTCTGGACTGCTCCCCTTGGGCCCAGCATGGGGAGATGGGACCATCCGGGCCCTCAGCTCCACTCTGCGGTGGAGCCGAAGGTCCAGGCCTCTTCCCTTTGATGCTCTGGGGCTGGCGCCTGCCATTTCTGAGACCCCCCAATCCAGGCGTCTCGAGAAGGAGCGAACAGGGATAGCTGAGGAGGAAGGGAGACAGGGGACAGAGTGGCCTCTCTGTGGCTTTGTGTCACCGTGCTCTTAATCGGGCCTTGCACACACACACGCACACGCACCGAAGGCTCTGTCCCTCACACCTGCCGCGGAACCCCCAAGGAGAGAAGGCCACCTCCGTGTGACTCAGAGCTGCCTCCCTCGGTGTGAGGACATTGTCTTCCCCAAAATACAGAAACAAACAGAAGGCGCTCAGCATGAGTGTGTGCGTCCGTCACTGGCTCCCCAGCGAGGCTAATCCTGACCGCCCCAGCAATGTGACGTCTGCCCTCTCTGTTTTGGGCTGGACTGTGCTGTCCATTCACTCTACACAGATGCCCCCTGTGCAGGGAGGCAAGCACCCCCTCCCTCCCTCCCCACCCCTCACCTCCTCCCATGTACTCCTTCCAAGGAGCCCAGGCTCCAGGGTCCCAGGAAGTCGGGCCCTGATGCTTCTGTGTTCCCCTCTCCTCCTAGATGAGAACGCCAACCTGGGCACGGTGATGCGGTACGAGGAGATTGGTGAGTGGGGATGGGAACGCAGGGGGGTGCGTGGGGGGGTTGCCTGCCTCCACTGCAGGCAAAGTGGGGGCAGGGAGGGGCTTGAAAACCTGGGCCAGGGTTGCTACCGGGTCTACTCTCAGAAGAGTCCCCAGCGAAGACCCCAGTCTCAGTGATGCCCCCGTTCACCTCCTAACGGCACTCGCGCCAGTTCCCAGGCAGGAAGCCTGAGTCCTGGGCAGTTTCCCTTTGGCGCCTCCTCTCCCTCATCCGAAGACGTGGGAGTCGAGCTTCCGTGCCAGCCGGAGAGACCTGCCCACTACACTGCACAGGAGGCAGAAGACCTTTGGATGAGGAGGGGCAGAGAGGGAGCCGGAAGCCGCCCCACAGCCTCCCTGCAGCCTTGGGCTGAGGCTAAGGCATCTACCATCCATGCGGGGGCCGTGGAGGTTCAAGGCCAGAGCAGGTGGAGGGCGGGGACCCGGAGCTGCCAGGTGGAAAGGAGCCAGCCTGTCCCGAGTGCTGGCCAACCGGGGAGCAAACCAGGAAGCTGCCGCCTTTCCAGGGTTCCAGAGTGGATGGGAGAGACGGGGGGGACACGGAGCAGACAGACAGGCTCCAGAATTCAGCTGGAGCAGCTCAGGTACCAGGTGACAAAGAGGGTCAGGGACAGCGGGATGCCAGGATCTCTAGGCTGAGGGGCAGCCTGGCATCCAGCAGACACGCTCAGTCTCAAAGGTCCAGCTGCAAAGACACTGCGATGCCACCTCCCATCAGTCTTCTGTCTGGGGCTGAAGGTCACGGGCTCCCGCAGTGACCCTGGGAGGTGGGCTGCACTCGAACACCAGGTTCTCCCAGGAGGCCCGGCAGCAGTGACATCATTTGAGGGCTTTTTTCTGGGTTCTGTCCTCTGATCTGAGATGCCCTGGGCTCAGCTCTCACTGGTTTGCTAGAACCGTTTGCAAGGTTTCCAGGAATTCTGTGAAGCGGTTGTTACATGCAGCCAATACCAAAAAATTAAATTATATCAAGTCACAGTTAAATAAATTGTGTTAAAAACGGAAGTAATGAGTCCTGAAAACTCCTCACTTCCTAATTAGCTTACCATATTTTTATATTCTTTACTTCCTGGCACGGGCCTGTCTGAAGGTCCCAGAAAGTGGTACCTGGCTTTCTGGGTGTGCCTCAAAGCCTCTAGCTTCCACAGCCCCCAAACCCAAAGGCCAGGATGGGAGCGAAAGCCCTGCACCCCCTTCCCCAAGGTTCCCCACCGGCCAGGAGCTAGTTTTCGGGAAGTTTCGTGACCAGCAGGGCTCCCTCCTGCAGACAGGCAGAGCCAGTGGGGGCTTGCACAGGGCTCACTGCAGCCTGGGGAGGGCAGTCGTGGCCCCATCTTACTCTTCCTTCTGAGAAAGGAAAGCTGGGCGGCCACGGAGGTCAGGATGGATGCCCGGCCTGGCACAGGTGGCGGCTGCCTCTGTGTGTGGCGGGAGCTGGGAAGGGCCGAGAGGCCTGGGCCTCACATAGCACAGATTCCTGGGTGGGGAAGGTGCCTGGAGAGCACGGGCTCTGGCTGTGGGCCCTGGATCTCTGCCTCCCAGGACCTCTGTGCTGTGAAGCCCTCTGGCTCACACACATTCTCTTTTTTGCAATCCCCTTGCACGCTTCAAGAGAAGGAAAAAGCCATTTTCCTCCTAGCTCGGTTAGCATTTTGGCTCCATGTTCTTAACCAGCTGACTGCCCCCGTAGGGGGAGGTGGGAAGAGCGAGACCCCGGATCAAAGGCTTTGTGGTCTATAAATGCCTGTCTCAGGCATTAAACTGGGAGAAGTCACTGCTGCCCTCTAGTGGCCACACGTGAAATTCCAAGCCCTGTGAGGGCCTGGGGTCTGTGATATCGATAATTATATGATACATCCGCTCTGGTCCTGCAAGAGAAGGTGGAGACCTTACTCTTAACTCTCGGTGCTCTGGCTTTTAACAAAATAATAACCCAACATTATACGGGAGTGGGAAGGCGAGGCTCTGGCTCGGGGTAAGAAAAGAGATTCATTTCCATGGCTACAGAGCAGAGGTTCTGGCGGGGGCTGCCGCACGCAGAGTAGGATGTCCAGTAGCATCCCTGCCCTCTCTCCACACCCAGGATGCCAGCAGCACACCCTCTCCCCAGTCCTGACAACTAAAAGCCTCTCCAGACGCTGCCAGGTTTGAACCATGGAGGGAGAGCGGAGGGAGAGCGAGCTGAGGGCAGCACCTCCTCGGGGCTCGGCCACCTCACTGAGCTTTCAACACCGAGGCTGGTTCCTCCCCACGGGTGGGGAGTCGGGCCAGCAATCCCAAGGCATAACATGGAGGGAGGGAGGCATCGCTGACTAGGGCGACACTGTCCCAGGCTCTCAAGATATAAGGGCAAAGGCCATGATGGCCAGCCCGGCCAGCCCAGACTGCCCGGAGGCTCTTAGACAGCCTGCCTGCATGGCCTCTGGGGTCAGCTGGTCTGCGGTTCACTTAGTCATATGTCCCGAGCACCTACTGCGTGAACACCTACTGTGTGCAGGTCACTCTGTCTGGCCCTGGGGACATAAAGGTAAATTAAGGTCCTTGCACATAAACAGATCTTTAGGCTATAGCACCAGGAGGAGAGGGAAAGGGAGAGGGAGGGTGGGAAGGAGAAAGAAAGGGAAGGACAGGAGGAATATTTAGGAGTTAAGCCCCCAGGGCTCCATGGGGATGGTCAATGAGATGCTGCCCTGTCCCTTGTCGGCCCAAGCAGCCTTCCTCTGAGCCACCGGGAGCTCCTGCAGCAGGGACCGGCTCACGATCTGAAAGTCCCTGTCGGGCCGGAGCTAGCTGTGGGGTCCCAGGCCATCTCAGCCTCAGGGCCGGGGTGGCAGGCCCTCTGGAAGGCTCAGAGCCAGGTAGGCTCCCTGTTTCAGACAAGAAGCCCACAGCCACGGCCTCTTGGCCGAGAGCCCGGGATGGCTCCGAACTAAACACACCACTGCGTTCCACCCCAGGCGGAGATCTCTCCCCTGTGGCTCCAAGGACCCCGGGGTTCTCATGAGCGAGTCAGCCTGCTGCTTGTTTTAAACCACGACGGGCCTCCCTGGGCCAATCCGGAGCGCACTTAATGAGGGAAGGAAAGCAACCGACACGCGGGGCCCCGTGTGCCCGGGAGTCAGACGAGGGGTTCTGGGCACCGCGTCTAAAGCCCTTAGCGGAGGAGAGGAGAGGACATCTGAGGAGCTCAGCTACTGCCCAGGCGCACTCAGTGCCCCTCCATTTGTGACGGGAGACAACCCCAGACAAGGCACCGCAGCAGGGAAGCCAATGCCACTGACACTTGAGTTTGATGTGAAGCAACAGAGAGAGACCCCGAGGCCTTAGAGTGCCGGACCGTCCAGATTTCGGCAAGACCCCCATCCCCAGACACCCCTCAGGACCCAGCAAACCAGGCCCTCCCCGAAGTAATGCCCCCCGCAGGAGACAGGGGTGGTCTGTGAGCGGGCGGAGGGAGAGGCCAGCACAGGCTTCTGCTCAGCACACACCATGGCGCAGGGAGGCCTGGCAGCCCCAGGGGGGAGACGTCTGGGTGCACTGGGGAGGAAGGCTGAGGGGTTGCATGCTTCCCAGGTCTCCACATGCTCCCTTTGCAAACCCTGTCCCCCTCCTCAGAGCTGCGGATCTTGCTGCTGTGTGGCAGTGACCTGCTTGAGTCCTTCTGCATCCCAGGACTCTGGAACGAGGCAGATGTGAGTACCAAGCCCGCCCACAGCTGGCATGCGGAAGGATTGGGGGGGGGGGCACTTGATTTGGGGCTCTGGTCTTCCCTCTCCCCACAGCCTCCCTCCCCAACCCGAGTATCCTCCCCCACTTCTGAGCTCCCAGGAAGGCAATCCATTCATATCTCCAGGGAAGGAAATTCTCACCCACCCCAAGCTGTATCTGTTACTGCATTACCACACCCACTCTTCCTCATGCTCGCTCTTGTAAAGCCCTGGGGGGGAAGCCATCTGAGTCATAGAGTATCTTCTCCTAGGAGAGCTTGCGGGCTGGGGTAGAAGCGGGGAGGGGGTGGGAGTGTGTGCTCCAGAGAGTGCTGCTGGTGGCTGGTGGGGGTGGGAGAAAAAGATAAAAAGGGCCTTTACTCCTTTGAATTATTGTGTGTGTGTGTTTTTTGTTTTGTTTTTTTGGATTCTTTTTGAAGAGGTAGTAAATACCACCCTAGAATTCCCTCAACGGGAGAATGGGGTCCAGAGGGGAGACATTAATGGCAACAGGTCAGTGGGATCCTTCTGGCCATTGACCTGGACTAGAGGGAACCAGGAAGTCAAAGTTACATCACTTAGAAGCTCGGTGGATGTCCTTGGTTACCAGATCTGACTGGGATGGTCTGAAGCCAGCTGATTCATAAACGACTCACTCTTCCCTCGGCCATTTATTCTTGTTCTTTCATTGGTTCATCTGAGAGCCAGAGCTAATGCCCCCCATCCCACAGAGAGCCCTCTGCAAGCTGAGTCCCAGGCAGGAATTCCGGATCCAGTGCTTTTTTATTAGCTTGCGGTGTGACTTTGTACAAATCACTCAACAACTCTGGGCCTCCGTTGTAGTTAATCTATAAAATCTATAGAATATTATCTATCACATCCAGAGATTTTTTTAAAAAATGCAACACTGTCCCTAACCCCAGATATTAGGTAACAAGATGGATACCTATGTAATTTTTCACGTACATATATATGTCTCTGGAGAGAGAGAGAGATCTGATAGGATCAGTCCTAGTTCTACTCTAATACAACTCATGACAAAATATGTTTTGAGCATCAGTTTTTCCCACCTCTAAAATGGGTATAATAAAGGTGCTACCTCATTGGATTTGGGGAGAATTAAATGAGATTCCCTATATATAGCGCCCTGCCTAGCTTCTGACATGCTGTTACATACAACCAATGTTAATAAATGAGTTTGCCTGCTCAGACATGAGGTCTACACATGGGTAAGGGGGAAGGGGATCCATGCTGACAGGCTGTGGGTTAACCAGGAGCTGTGGGGTGGGGTGGGGAGTGAGGGGGCAGGGGAGCAGATTACAGTGCAGTCCTTTCACCCCCAGCCCTCAACGATTTCCACAGAGACATTCTAACCCCCTTTGTGTTCTGGGTCAGGCGGCTCCATTAGCTTTCCCTTCCTCCCTGTCCACAAAGGGCCATGAAGGTGAAGGGTAACGCGGGCAGAGTTCTGGACAGATGGCTGCAGAGCTCTGCCAGGAATCCAGGCAAATGCCGGCAACCGTCCGGGGCTGTCCCAGGGGTGGCCGCGGCCTGGGAACCTCCAGGACTCTCCTCAAGGGAGACTCAGGCTTGTGGAGTCTGAAATGTGCCCCATTTGGGGTTCTGGAAGCAGGGCCAGGGCTTGTTAGCTCGCTGTCTGAAGGTCTTCTCACTGCCCACCTGGAAGGGCTCCTCTTATTGAGGTTTGTGAGGCCCACTGCTAGCCCAGGTTTCCTTAATTCATTCCACACCTGGTGGAGCCCAAAGCCGGAACTGGCCTGTGTCAGCAGGAGAACAATGCTTCTTGGCAAAGTCCTGGGCCCTGGCTTTGTATCCCAGTCTCCCGTGTTTCTCCAGAATCCTCAGCAATCAGTCAGGAGAGAAGGAGAGACAGGAGCCCCTGCGCCTTCCTGTAAAGGAAGCTCCCGGGAAGCAGGGAGCCGCTCTGTCCCCACTCAAGCTGGGCAGCAGCCGAGATGACCCGCTGTCCAGCAGGACCGCCAAGGCCCCTTCAGCCACGCTCTCTCCACGGAGTCCCTCTTGCTCTTTCTTTGCTTTGGATTCCTGAGCCAACGCTCTTTACCCAGAAATCTAATTACACAACTGAAGGGACAACCCCACCCCCACCCCAACACACCCCGGGAGCATTTCCCGTTAGGCAGAGAGACCCGTTAGCCCTGCAGAGCATTCCGACCTCCTCTGACCAGTAACACACCCCGACCCCTGACGTTCCCCGGGTAGAAAATTCCATACAAGTTCATCATGATCCTCCTAGAATCCCAAAGAGCTGCCTGTGGGCCCTGGCAGTTGGCATTTTCATCTTTGATTCCAGGAGAAATCAAGACTCGGATTCCTGGACTAGCCTTGGAGATCAGGAACCAGGCCCCCTAGCCCCGTGGTCGGCAAACTCATTAGTCAACAGAGCCAAATGTCAACAGCACAACGATTGAAATTTCTTTTGAGAGACAAATTTTTTAAACTTAAACATATAGGTAGGTACATTGTTATTAACTTAATTAGGGTTCTCCTAAGGTGACCTTTGCTAAAAACTCAAGGGACCAAAGAGCCGCATGTGGCTCGCTAGCCGAGGTTTGCCGACCACGGCACTAGCCTGTTGACTTCTGGGCTTTTTAAAAGTACATATATTTTTATAAATTTCAGAGAAGAAGAGAGAGAGCGATAGAAACATCAATGATGAGAGAGAAGCACTGATCGCCTGCCTCCTGCATGCCCCACATTGGAGATTGAGCCTACAACCTGGGCATGTGCCCTGACCAGGAATCGAACCCTGACCTCCTAGTTCATAGGTCAATGCTCAACCACTGAGCCTTGTGAGCCAGGCATTTCCAGACTTCTTATTAGAGAACTAGTCTCCCTCCCCCTCTCCCCCCCAAGGCCTGGTCGTCACTGTGCTGCTTCCTGACCTTAGCACCAAAGTGGGTGTCCAGGCGGGACCAAGGTCCGTGGGAAACCAAGGCCAAAGATCAACCGACCAGCCATAGACAGATTTCTGAGACAGGAAGTTTTCAGACTCACTCGCTCCCCTCCCCCAAACAAAACCTGTGGTCCAGGACCTTCTGCTGCCAGCTGCTTTGTTCATTAGGTTATGGTGGAAGGCAGCCTGGCAAATTAACTCCGATTCAAGTATTCTTTCCTTTGATCCATCTTGCAACTAATACTGACTGAGTGGCCACGATGAACATAAGCATGGGAAAAGTTCAGAGGAGTTTCTGACCCTAAAAAGCACTCAATCAATGTTGGCCGTTTTTCATTCATTGGTTTTAAAGTACCGAGTGGCTGCCATGTGCCGGCTGGAGGAACAGAGAAAACAAAATATACCAAGTCCCCCCCTGGGGTGCACTTTACTCTCCAGAGGGGAGACCAGCCATAAACACTTGGCTTGTGTCTCAGTTAACCCCCAGAACATTCCTGAGAAGTGACTTTCTATTCCCGTTTACAGCTACGGAAACCAGGGCTCACACGGACTGTGACTAGTGCAAGACCTAACTCTTGGTTAGCAGAGAAGGATTTTGTGTACATCTCCCGCTCCCTAATCCAGATGAAAAGGGACAAGTGAGAGGAATGGTACATGTAATTCACAGCAGGTCAGAGAGGAGGCAGCACTGAGCTGGGCTTTCAATGGTGGACAAGATTGGGTTAAGTGGGTGGGAAGAGAGGGCTTGAGAGGTGGAGAGAAGGCTGAACAAGATCCAGTGGTGGGAACCAGACCTTTTAGGGGTGGGGGGGAGATGGTTCTGGCTGGTTGAACTAGAAGCTTTCTCTTGGTCTCTATTTGGGAAGCTTTTGACTTTTCAGCAAGGTGGCAAAATCATTACGTTTAATGATTAAACGTATTAGCCACTGGCCTTTTCAATGATCCAGGGTCAATATTTAACCCAAAGGAATGAAAGTCTAAAAGGGACGTGAGGCACCAGAGATGGGCCACGAAGGAAAGTGTTTTTGCTTTGTTCCTTTGTCTTCCTTTTTGCATTTCCCAAAGCCCGGCACTCCTCGGGCCAGCTCTCATGGGCTATAGCCGACATTTTTCCAGCCAACCAGGCCGTGGCCTAACTGCCGCCTCCATCCACCAGCTGTGGGAAACCAACCAAAGCAAATAAACAGGGGAAGAGCCTGGGGCAATGGCCACTCCAGAAGAAATCCCTGGGCTGAGGGACAAATGGAGCAAAGACAAACATGTGGTTTTTCAGGCTCAGATGGTTTTCATCAGACAGTCCGGCCGCGGCCAGGAAGCCCCACGGACCTTCCCACCCTGGGGATTAGGTCCCCCGCACAGATGAGCCGGGACTGAATTTACAGGCTCTGGGGGAGGAGGGTAGGCCCTAGCAGGGAGATGCTGGTTCTCGTGTGAAAGGCGCTGCTGGCTTAGTTTTCAGGCTGTTGACTTGAGTCTGGAACCCCCTGCATCCCCCCTCCTCCCCATCAAGTTGGAAAGGGGCGTGGAGAGGATTTTCTCTGGGAAACCCCTCAGAAGCATCCTTCCTTTATTTGTACGAAGCAACATTCTGGAAATGCATTCCCACCGTCTCAATTCTGATCTCACTAGCCTCTCTCAGCCTTCCCTACGGGGAGGAGCGGGGGCCAGGACGAAGGTGGGTGACTCTTGGCTGGTATGGGTGGGGAGCAGGTGGCAGAAGCCTGTCACCTACTGTGTGGCTTCTGCCAGACACTTTCTCCCTGCGTCATTTCTACATTGCCAGGGGGCAATGTAGGGTAATGAACAGAGGACTTAGCCCAGGAGATGCCTGGAGAAAAGACAGAGGATCTTTTCAAACCAAAAAAGTTTCAAGTCACTAAAATGTGAGTCTTAACCATGGACCTAGAAGAGGTGTTGTTCTTGGGAAGGGGACCTGGCCCTGAGCGGGTCTGTGTAGGGTCGCTTCACTTCTTGCAGGCAAGATTTCACAACACAGATCCGGGGGTTTGGAGAGCGTGTTTAGTAAAGCCGGGACAGTAAACCAAGGAAG